TAATCCTCCGCTCATTTATGCAATACAAGAAAGCCGACTTCTCACATTTGGAGACACTTTTACATCTTGCACCATGGACTGCATTCATGAAGGACAGTGATCCCACGGAGTCATGGGAGGGGTTCATGGACATACTGGATGCAGCAATTCGAGACAGCATCCCCAGGAAGACATGTAATCGTCGCATGTCCCCATGGATAACACCTGCACTGAAACGCCTCATCAAACAGAAACAAAAGCTCTTCGTCAAGGCCAAATCGAACGGTGACAGCAGTGACTGGAACAGGTATAAACTTATCCGTAATGAGGTGAAAAACAAAACTAAGAAGGAGTACTGGAAATACATCAATGACTTGTTTGCCCTGCCGGACAACAAACGTAGCTTTTGGAGCTTTGTTAAGGACCAAAGGAAATCCAAATGCCCACCTGCGTTCAGGACAGCCGAGACACAGCTCCACAAGCCTGCCGATATTACATAATCCTCCGCTCATTTATGCAATACAAGAAAGCCGACTTCTCACATTTGGAGACACTTTTACATCTTGCACCATGGACTGCATTCATGAAGGACAGTGATCCCACGGAGTCATGGGAGGGGTTCATGGACATACTGGATGCAGCAATTCGAGACAGCATCCCCAGGAAGACATGTAATCGTCGCATGTCCCCATGGATAACACCTGCACTGAAACGCCTCATCAAACAGAAACAAAAGCTCTTCGTCAAGGCCAAATCGAACGGTGACAGCAGTGACTGGAACAGGTATAAACTTATCCGTAATGAGGTGAAAAACAAAACTAAGAAGGAGTACTGGAAATACATCAATGACTTGTTTGCCCTGCCGGACAACAAACGTAGCTTTTGGAGCTTTGTTAAGGACCAAAGGAAATCCAAATGCCCACCTGCGTTCAGGACAGCCGAGACACAGCTCCACAAGCCTGCCGATATTTGTCATGCATTCAACAAGTTCTTCACCTCTGTCCATACTCCAACAGGGGTTCCTGCAGAGACCCCACCGTCTTGTGACTTCCCAATTCCAGAGATTCACCCCACAACAGTGAACCTTGGCTGGCTTGTTAAGTCGCTGTCCAACTTAAATCCTCATAAAGCACCAGGTCACGACGCTATACCACCAAGGATTTTAAAAGCGACTGCATCATCAATTGCTCCGCCTCTGATGCGATTGATGAACTCATCCCTAACTACTGGCGTTGTCCCAGCAGATTGGAAACTCTCACAAATAACTCCGGTTTTCAAGTCTGGCAGTCGTACCGATATCAAGAATTACCGTCCAGTAGCGTTGACATCAATCATCTGCAAGTTGTTGGAGAGGGCTGTCGCTGACAACATCAACGACCATGTAACATCACTCTGCCTCGGCAACCCCCAGCAACATGGTTTCACTGCCTCCAAATCATGTGTCACCCAGCTTGCAAACACAATCCATGATTGGGCAACTATCTTGGATAAACCGCACCCTCCTCGACTCGATGTAATTTTCCTCGATTTCAGTAAGGCTTTCGATGTTATGCCTCACCATATGGTACTTAACAAACTTGCCAGCAACTTCAATATTCGTGGATCGACATGGACCTGGATAAAGTCCTTTCTAATAGGTCGTCAACAACGAGTTGCGTATCGGGGATGCTTCTCCGAGTGGGCACCAGTTACTTCAGGTGTTCCTCAGGGCAGTGTTCTTGGCCCCCTCCTGTTTAATTTGTTTATTAATGACATTTCTCATGACTTATCCACAAACTGTGCACTCTTTGCGGATGATACACTCCTCTATCAGCCAATCCACTCACCCCAAGATGAACTCGCCCTCCAGTCGGACCTGACTGCACTTGAACAATGGAGCAATCTCAATGGTATGCAGCTGAATATCAAGAAAACCAAGGTCATGCACATATCCAGATCCCGGAAACCAGCAGTTCTTCCAAGTTACATTCTTCACGGTCAATCGCTCAATGTTACACCTACATTCAAATATCTTGGGGTAATCATCAACGACTCACTGAACTGGAACGATCACGTCGATGCCACTGTCTCAAAGGCCAATAAGACATTAGGCTTTATCTGGCATATTGCGGGTGGTGCTTCGACCAAGGCTTTGACATCCCTCTATCGTTCACTTGTTTTGCCCGTACTGGAATACGGGTTGCCAGCTTGGTCCCCATACACAGCATCCAATGCAGCCAAACTTGAGAGAGTGCAGAGAAGGGCAAGTAGAATGTGCCTCAAACAGCCCAAAGGTGCAATGTCATATGAAGACAGATTGCATGCTTTGAATTGGATGACTCTAGATACACGTAGACAGAAGCACATAGTTTCCTTCACAGTTAAAGTCCTGTTTAACTTAGTTGACTGCCAGTCAGTGAAGGCCAACACAGTAGTGAACACTCGTCACCAGGATTGTCTCACATTTAGTCACCACTATGCTAGAACTCAAACCCTGAAAAACACACCTAGTCATGTCTTCCCCCGAATCTGGAGTAGTTTGCCATCGCATGTAAGGGACTCTCTATTAATTGATTCATTCACACTGTTTAACACCCGATTATCCGCCCATTATTATGAGTGTTAAAACCTTGAGCTGGAAATAGGCCCCCCCAAGTGTTTAACTCTTTTGATCAACTTTAATCTTTTTAAAGTAATTTCATGTGTATATTTTTCCACTGTAAACTGCCATCATTCTTTTATTTCATTGTTATTTTATTTTATATTATTTTCCTCTTTTGTGGTTAAGTTTATTTATTCATTTATTTATGTCTGAAATAATGTTGGTTTTCAGGCCTATTTTTCCGGTTGCTTATCATTTATTATTACTTGTATTTATTTTGTTATTGATACTTTTGTTGTTGCTTTTCTTGTTCATTGGATGGATATTTTTTTTTGACGTAGTTTTTCTCGCATGTCAACTGTATTTTTTACTTTTCTCTATCAGGTTTTTATTGCTTATTATTTATTTTTTATTTTTTATTTCATTTTAAATTATTTTGTTTACTGTATCAATCTTTCGTTCTGTGTTTTTATGTTGTTGTGTGGTAGTTGTTGTCTTGTCTTGTCTTGTCTTGTTTGTTTGTTTGTTTTTTGTTTTGTTTCGTCTTGTTTTGTTTTGTTTTGTCTTGTCTTGTCTTGTCTCTAGAGACTTGTTTTGTTACATTTTGTTAAGTCTTATCCTGTCTTGTTTTGTTTCTTTGTTTATTGGGGTGTTTGTTTGTTTGTTAGTTTTGTTTTGGCTTGTTTGTCTGTTTTTTCCCAGTCTTGTATAATCTGCAGTTGTTAGGTTTTTATGCCAGCTATTCTTGCCTATGAGAAAACTGTTGTAACTGTTAATCTTTTAAATCTAATTATCTTTGTTAGTATTATTTTTAAGGCGGTCTTATTTTTCATTGAATTTTATACCTAATTTTTAATATATTTTGTATGTTACATGTACCATTCAAGTTAGGATTGACAGGCTTTCGAGTCACAGTGTTTTATTATACTTTTGTCAATCCTGGCCAGCTTGGATTGGATTGTTTTTGTTTAGTTTTGTTTACTGTTGTGAATTGCTTGTTGTACCTTGTAATTTGGCCGAATAAATAATAATAATAATAATAATAATAATAATAATAATACATGTAGATGGTCTCACCAGCGTCGTAATAAGTGAGGGGCGGGGGTCCTTGGCCAATTACTCAAAAACGCCCCCCCTCCGCCCGAGGCATGTGGCCGCCTCCCCCTCCTCATCTCTCACCCGCTTAGAATTTTTGGAAGTCAAAATGACCTTGCTGATGATGATAATCTATTGAGTGCCCCCGCCCCTTCATAAAAGAGTTCCCCTTAATCCTACCCCCCCCCCCGCAAATCGGACCCCATTTTCTCTATGATCGCGGTAAATTACATTGACGATCCATCCAGCCTCATCTTAATTTCCCCGAATCACATCCCCGAGTCAAATTTCCAAGAGGAAGGCCTAGCCTGTGGGCTGTGAGAAATGATAAAGGAGTGTCATGATTTTTCCCCATTATATTTATAGTACAAAATAACCGAAAAAAATACTTATGTTGTGACATCGGAATGCCCTACGTGGGCCGGAACAAATACCTGATACGTCGATTGAATGGCTTTGTTATAATGATCATTCGCAGTCACGGTTACCGGCCAATGAAAACAAAACATGTCACCGGTTATAAATTCCCTGTGAATTATTCTATCTGGCTACCGTCATTTAGAAGAAACCAAGTAATACGGGATTTCCAACGATCATTGTTGACTGATTTTTGGAAATACGGAGTGTATGGAGGAAGTCGTGTTACGGTGGTGATCAAAAGGTTGTGCACCGTTTTTCTCGAATTGTGTAATATTTTCTTATAGTGGAACTTCAACAGGGTATAGGTTTTGAACATTCCTTTTTGGAATTTTAGTGGTATTATTATTGGAAAAGAACAAAATGCATGATAAGCAAAAGATCCTATATGCCTTTAACAAGGAACTTGAACAAAAATGTAAACTTCACTCCCCGTCTAAAATTAAAATGTGGAGCCTTCTTAATTCGTAAGAAATTGAGGCTTTGCATGGTGGAGATACTAAAGAATGAAAGGTTTGCGAAAACACCATGTGGAAATAATTTCTCAAACTAAGAGAATGGTTCTGAATAGAACCAGAGGTATAAACTCTGGTTCTTTTTAGAACAATTATCTTACACTCGGAAAGTTAATTCGATCAGGTATGCGTTTTCTCATCAACTTCAGCTGCAGCATAATTTATCGCATGACGTTACCTAAAACTAAAAAAGACAGGTAACCAAACATGAAATGCAGCATATTTATAGATTTGAAAATGCATGCTGTTTTGCTAGACAGTCAGATTTCTACGAAAAATATGTTTTTAGTGTTTCTTTGTTCCACCTGGAAATTCAGTGCGTGTATGTGACGTACATTGACATGTGCACGCATGTTTTGTGTGCTTGTTTTTTCCGTCCGGAGACTAAGTTGGAACATCCGGGAGCTCTGTCTACGACGCCTGCGCAGTTGCGTGAAATTGGCACTCTGACGATTTGGGCCATTTTTCTCTCCGCCATATTTCGGACAAAGACTTGGACAGACATCCACCGAAAATGTCTGATTCTGCCGGAGAAATGCGCATGTCGTCGCCCAAGGTGAGTACAAGCGTCTCCGCTGACCAGCCTGGTGCGACTGGTGTCGGCAGAGATCGCTGTGGTTCGTTTGAATTTTCGATATAGTGGGTGAGAAGTTTGGTCGAAATTCTGTCAGAGTCGTTTCACGCATGCAGTCGCTATGCAATGCAGCGGTATTCATGCTGCCGAATGCGGCGTGACCATGAAAAAAAAAGCCGGGGTCGCATTGCGCGCACGTGAAACACAGACATCGTTTTCCATGTGCCCAGTTTATCTTTAAAGACCACACAGTAAAGCCATTAGTATCATTTTTAGCCTGCCTTAAACATGTCGCATGAGTTTCACTGATTATTTTTCGTGTTGAAAAGTAATCACACCTTTAACCTTCCTTGCTACTTTTTATTGACAGGCGGACGAGAAATCGCAGAATGCTGTGAAAGGTGAGTGATGATATCGATTAAAAATCACCACAGTCATGACAGTGCAGTTGTGTTAAAGCAGGATGGCGTGAAAGCTTTAATTTGTGCCATTATTATTTGGTCATTTGCATTATCTCTTGCACCAAAACTGAGCCCCATAAATTTGAAAGTGCATATGTGCATGTATGATGTAGCATCCACATAAACAAAAAGACACCACTTCTTGGTTGTGTGCAAGGAAAGTCCATGAACAAAAGCAAAGAGTTGAGTGCATTTTCAGAGTAGTTGGCCTATTTTCTAACAAAATTGGAAATGTTTCTCAGTTCCAGATTCATGTCTTTTCAACAGTATTGAAGTGACTGACGTTCAATGAGATAATAAAATAATATATGATGAAAAAGGGGAGTCGAACGGAAAACAAGGAAGCGGGTGGGCCGAGAAACTGGTTAATTTTTTTTTTTACTTGGCCTTACTATTGTTGTTGAAAGTGTTGTGTAGTGACTTAAGCATTTAAGTGGTTGCGTACAAATTCTGTGGGAATAATATTTGTTTAAAAGTATTTATTTATAAAATTACAAATGTGTTCGGACCCAAATGCACACCTTCAACACACAAGGATTGGCAATCATTGAGGTGGTAATTGAAAAAAGGCACCAGGAAGTTGCATTTTACCCATTATTGTTTTAATCTTTTTAATTGTTTAAAATTACCTTATCGTTAGATTTAGATTCCATATGTTTTCCCAAGATACTACTTTAATAATGGTACTTGTCAAACAAAAAGTATATTTGTCGGTGTCCAAATCTAATCATTGATACAATTGTTACATTGATTTACAAAATAACAAATTTGTATTGAAAATAGCACTGGTCTCCAGTTCTAAATGCTTTTAAGAATAAACGTTACAAATAGAAAAGAAAAGAAAGAATGGGAAACAGAAGTGCTTTTGACCAAAATGTGTAAGCCTATGCCATTTGCCATTGCCAAAAATAACTCTAGAAAGATTTCTGTGTTGTTTAAGTTCACTTTCGATTTTTGAATTGTTCTTCTTTTTCCCTTCTTAAAATATACAAAATCTTATCACAAGTTCACAATTTTATTGAAGTATATTATTTATGTATGAATTTTTTAATGTTACATGGCACTTGGCTTATACTGTAACAGCCACAGGTAATACCAAAAGGTGTACTGGCCATACAAATTTGTGGGAATTTTTTTTTTTTTAAATACCTGTCCAGGGGCTTTAAAATTTCATGGAAATTCTAAGCATGTTAATTAACTTTGCACAGAAAAAAAATAGCTGAGACAAAAACAGGATACCAGCTACATGTAGATTGCCATTTGATGTACATTAGTCTTGACTGGTTCTCATCTGACTTCCTTAGTACCGGTATATACAAAAAAATGGGAAAGAACGTTGCATCCTGACGCCACTATTTTTCACCCTATATCATCTTGATGAAGGTCAGTCGACACAAAAATGTTGAAAAGACATGAATCTGGGACTGAGAAACATTTTCAGTTTTGTTAGAAAATACTTAAAAAATACATGCAACTCTCCATAGACTTTGTACACAACAAAAAAGAGGCGTCTGGATATTACTAGTACATTCTTTTTAAAAATGTGCTTAATTATTTTTCTGCTTAAGTGTTCATGAGATTAGGTCCTCGTTAAAACCCGAAGTAGAACTAAACCAAAACCGAAGTAGAATATACTAAGTAGAATTTTTTTTAATTGAATTAAGTGAGCTTTGTTTTTTTCCTTTCTTATATCCAGATCATAAACTACAAAACCATATCAAATCCAGTCCTCAGAAAATCAAAAAGCCATCCAGTGGCATGGCCAACAACCACCACTCTAATTCTGTGTCGGTTAAGAGCAGCGGCAATCACCAACCATCCCCTGCTCGTCCCAAAGAGGGGTCCAATTCCCACTCGTCCCATTCGAAACCCCAGTCAAACTCACACGGGAAGCCCTCCAGCAAGCCGTCCAGCGGCGTGTCCGGGTCCGGGTCACATTCCTCCTTTAAGCATTCCTCCTCGTCGTCGTCGAAGCCCTCGCCGGGGTCATCTAGTTCGGCCAAGCCCAAAGAAGGATCCTCCGGTGTGTCCAAACCCAAGGTCAATTCCACCCCGGGCTCTGTGAAGCCATCCTCCGACAAGCACAAGTCGTCATCTGTGCCGTCGAAGACAAGCTCTTCGTCTGGCACGCCATCACACAAGACGAGCTCTTCGTCCTCTACGCCGTCACACAAGACCGGCTCCTCATCTGGTACGCCCTCGCACAAGAGCCCCTCCTCTGGAACGCCCTCAAATAAGACCTCATCGGGCTCCAGTAAACCGAAAGAAGGCAGCAGCTCACTCAAACCCAAAGATCCTTCTTTGAAACCAAAGGCCCCTTCGGCCAATAAAGACTCATCCTCGAAGCCTAAAGACAGCACAAGCAAAACTTCATCAAAGTCACTACCATCGAAAAGTACCAGCTCATCGCATGTGTCAAAGGAGAAGGATAAGTCGCATAGCAAACCGTCTTCGGATCGACCCAAACACTCGGACGGGAAGAGCAGCTCAAGCGACAGTGATTTCAAGAAAGACAAGTCGTCTTTGAATCATGAAAATCGCAAGCTGCACAAGGACGGCGACAAAGTCAAAGTGAAACCAGAAAAGAACGGAGAGCATGAAGGAAAGATGACCGTCAAAGTCAAAGCTGAGGTTGTGAGGTAAGAGTTTCGATGTTTTTTTTCCCAACAGAGACTTCCTTGCTTCCTTACATTTTTGTTAAACTCCTTTGGTCAGATATTACAAAGTTTATGAATTTATGTTAAATATTACAGATGCACAGTGAATTAAAACAAGTTCAACTTATAAGGGGCCTACATCATTTTCTCCCTTAGTGAAAAATTTAAAAAGTAACAAAAGCGTGTGGCACATTCGCAGTCAATCAAAACTCAAAAGGTCCGGATGAAGTATTTCAATGTTTTGCCTCAAATACCATTTGAATTACAGTGAAATAAATTTTTCTTCATGATATGGAGGGGTTATTCAACATGTGATGCCCATTATTTGAACTTGGTTGATCAAAGTTCACATTGCGGTTTATCAAACAATCACAAGTTGTAAACATTTGTCACCGAACTTTGTTCGTCATACGTAACAGTTGGTATTTACTTTCTTATCATCAAAAAGTGCTTCAGAAGATTTAGCACGTCATATGACGGCTACAAGTATGAACTTGCCAAATGCAGTTTGATTTTGAAGTCTATGAAAAAAATCATTTTATAAAAGTCGTTATGTAAATCTCTTCAATTTAAAAAAATAATAATTTGGATTGTCAAATTATTCGAAAAGAAGAACTTTACAAAAGAGGTTCATACCCTTTTGCTTTGTGATTAATCCTCAAAAGTCCAAAACCATTAAAAAAGGGGACTTTTTCTTCACTTAGATGGTTAGACCTAACAAAATTATGATTTCAAGGCCCATTTTAAACAAAATATGGGTGGGCTTTGTATAGTACTGCATACATCATAATAGTGCAAAACCAAGTGTTTTATTTTGGATAATTTCCTGTGGTATTAGTATTGAAGATTCGCATAAAAGGAATTACTTTTTTCTATGGATTTCTCTCAACTCAAAACAGTCCATTGAAAATCAAGAAAGAGGCTACGGGTTTATACTCCAATGCAGTGGGCCAAACTGTGGTAAGTTTAACATTTCAAACTTGAAATTACATCTTGAAAAGACTTGTGTGTTTTAAAAAAAATTAATACAATTAAATTTACTGACAAATTTGAAGAAAAATCAAGGATATGAAGTTCCCCCCCCCCACCAAAAAAAATGAATGAAACTTTTTATTTCAATGTGACAAATTTTCTTAAAGGACAAACATCAAGCGGCTCACAAAATCAAAAAGGAATCTGACAAGCATCGTCCTGCAAAGCGCCCTCTAGAGGACTCGGATGACGAGAAACCCCTTTCCGCCAGGTAGGAAATGCAAAGCTTCTTTTGGTTTCAGTGTGTAGAAAGTCCACACATTTTTAAAGAATATGGGACCTTTGTTAGCAGATAGTGATACTTGCCATTGATTTGGCAAATCACTTTTTGTAAGTTTTTTCTAATTTCAAAAGCTCTTTCACAGCAGTTCTTGAGGCTTAGCAATTTGATCTTGATTGCGCATAACAAGTAGTACAAAATGCTTTGCATTTGAGGACATTTCATCATTTGGACTCAAAGACAATGAAAGATAAGGGCAAAACATCTATGTTTGCTTTACCGCTAATTATCCGCAGGAACCATCACTGCAAGTTTTTGCTTTCCAAAGCCAGATTTAAAAAAACCCAGAAAACAAGGCTTTCGGATGCTTTGTGGAAATTCATTATCACTGTTTTTTCCTTCAAGTTTTTGTATTTTTCCCCCCGAGAATTGGAATCCTGGGTAAGTGTTCTGCGACAAACTGATGTGAAATAAACATTAAATCTGTTCTTGCCAGGGGTAAGACTTGTCCAGATTTGTCCTGAATTCAGGGTTTTAAAAAAATCTCTTTTGACATCTGGTAATCCTTAGGTTTTACCATAAAGGTGTTTTTACCTGTGTAATTTTATATAAAAAAGAAATGGGTAATTTCAAGGGGTGCCTTCAGGCAAATACGAACATAGATCACGGGCCCTGCGTTGCTCCGGGGCCCGCTGCGAACCTCAAACCATCTGCTGATAAATTTCGTGGATTTTTCATTTTCTTCCAATCTAACCCTTTATCTTGCTTGTTGTGTCCAGGGTTGAAAAGGCAAAGAAACAGAAGACTGACAGCTCCTCTGTCAAAAAGGAGAAAACGAAAGACGTGCCTCCGAAGCGGAAACATGAAGAGAGCGAGGAAGACGAACCACTGGTATGTTGCAGATATTCAGCAGAATTTGTGTTTTCTTCGACTCTCAACCTTCCAACCAAGCTCAAATTTTGGACCATTCCTGTTCCTTTTTTATGTGATCATCTTGCACAAATACAGGAATAAAAGAAGCGTTCCAGTGCAATTTCCTTTACTTGTTCACATTTAAAATAAGGTAGACCCAAAGAGCTATGTTTAGTCACTAGAGCGCTAACTCCTCATTTTTGCGCGCGGAGACGCTTTGAAGCTGCTTTGGGCGCAGACATTTTGAATTCATGTGTGTGTCTGTAGATTATAATGAAATTAGATGGATTGAATTTTGAAAGTGTACTCGAAATGCAACGCACAAGTAGAACATTACGCAAACAACCTATGCGCATCATGACGGTTCAAAAACGTCACTACAAAAAGCATCTGCATCGGATACACGCACGCATTGCGCTGTTTGCGTAGAGTAAAATGAAACGCGCATTTGCTGATCGTGCGTTTTGGTTTTGAGCGTATCGACTTCGGTAACGCACCGGTATGGAATACAAACGCAGATATGCAAATAGACGCACACAATTTTGAGTTTCCCATAGTGTTGTGCACAAACATGGATGCGCCCAGCAGGCATCACTTTGTACATGAGTTAGCGCTCTAGTTATTAAATATATAGCTCAATGGGTAGACCCACCAAAGTATGCAAGCACTCAGGCAAATTGTTCCCAAGTAGTTCCCAATAATAATAACTAACTGCCATTACTTCCAGTGGGATGTTAGAAGCTCCAGCATACCCCCTTCAAAATCCAAAACTACAATAATATTGGGACATAAGGCCCCGTGCTTCAACAACCTTGTTGGGATGCAAAGTGTTGATTTCCTCAAAGTAACGCATAACAGTTTGACAATATTTCATACAATTCACGTCATCTTACTGAAAAAACGGAACCAAAAACCCCCTGTACTTTTGGCCTGCTCCATGATGCCTAGGTCAAGAAATCCAAAGCAGATGTAAAGAAATCCAAGGACAAGACAAAAGACAAAGGCAAGGACAAAGGCAAGGACAAAGGAAAAGACAAGGCGAAAGGAGCTAAGAAGAAAGGCAAGAAAGGAGAAGAGGCCGCAGAGGTCTGGAAATGGTAAAATAGAAAAAAACATTGTTTCTGCATCTTTTAACCCAACTCTCTTCGTGTAGTTTAAAGATATAGTCCATCATTTGAAATTTGTGCATTTTGTTCGTTTGAAGCAACAAAAGTGTTCAAAATCTAAAGAAGGGTGCTGAACAACTAACCTGATGAAGTTTCAGCTCAGCTTCAGCTGTGTATTCCGAGAAAAAGAGCATTCTAGGATCTCAATTTCAAATCAAAAGTTGCTGAATCATTTTTTGAATTGTTTTGAATTGTAGTTATACGCGATGTCGCGCACTGATCCGACGAATTATAGCAACCGCGTGTGCGTCGTGCCAATGCCTAGCACGCGCTGCGCCGAATAACAAAACGAACTACTAATTAAAATTTTCCTACGGTGCGTCTTAAGACGCACCGTTGGAAAGGCCTTCTTTCGTTGATTACTTCAACATGATAGCTTGCCAGAAAGATTAATTTCACAGGGAGTTTAGTCCACTTGCTATCTTTCAACCAAGTATGTTTTTCAACAATAATACGCCAGTTACTTTTTCGGATGGCTGCAAATGATGGACTATAGCTTTAAAGTGCATGTTATTTTGACATTCCAGTACACTCCAGCAGAAATGAATTGGAATATGCTTTAACTCTTATATTGAACAGCTTATATATTATTTGCTGCATAGCAAAGGTGCTAGTTTGGAGGGATTAGGAGGGCTTAAGGGTGCAGACCAGTAAATCGGTCCGAAATTGCCTACGCCGGCCAAATCACGATTTGCATGCCCTCAAAATCTTCAGTATTTGAGCACACTGTGGGCCATGAACTTGAAGGTTTGTAAAAAATATGGGTGGAAGCTGTGCACAGGACTGTGAGCTTGTAGTTCTGTTCAATTTGGATGAAATTGGGGCCCTAAAAACGCTCTATTTTGCAATGGAGTGTAGGCATCGTTTTTCAAAATGGCGATGGGCTTCAGGACTATTTTCAGGGGTGATCATCTTCGGATGGAGACTTCTCCTAAAAGTCATCAATTGACCCCCCGAAAATTGAAAAGAAAATGAAAGATGATTAAAAAAACTTTAATTTGATGTGTGTATCGAACACCTTAGATAATTGTGATTATTTTTCCTGAATTTCTGAAGTGAGAGTCTTTACCATTAGGGTCTATGGAAGTTTATTTACTGGTCTGCCACCTTAAGTGATCCCACCACAGATTTGTTTACTTTGGTCTTACTGTTCATTGCTGACAAAAGAGTTTTACTCACACCATGGACAAGCTATCTTAGGATGCCCTTGGCAGTCGTCTTAAACCACACTGAAAAGTTATGGAACTTCTCAACAGGAACATAAATTTTGAAGCCTTTACTTAACCCTCTTGCTGTCTGAACAGTCACAGACACTCAAAAAATCAATCCTCTTCCCCTGCCATGCCTTTTACACAGTCTAGTCACCAACAGTCAGATCATATTTCCTGTAGACACTGTGACTAGTCAGATTCCATCAACAGGCAGAAGCAGGCAACTGGTAGGCACAGACGGCTTATCAATCACCTAGAGTCAAAGCATAGCTTTATCAAGTTACATAAACAGTCGCAGCCAGTCAATCCTGTTTTATGTAGGCCGGGAGCACTGGACTGTTAAAACAGTCACTTGATTGATTCTGACTGCTTGAACGGTTTTGTTGTATTTGCCAGCCAGAGAGGGAGGGTCAAAGAAAAAGAACTTAATTTGCATATCAATGGTATGTTCCTACAGGTGGGAGGAGGAGCCCCATCCAGAGGGAGTCAAGTGGGTCTTTCTGGAGCACAAGGGACCCGTCTTTGCCCCGCCCTACGAACCCCTGCCGGACCATGTGCGATTCTTCTATGACGGTATGCACTTTTTCCCCAACCACAGGGGCCCGATTCCACGGAGCTTTTAAGCCAAAAAAAATGGCTTAGCAGCTTTATGTGCTAAGCAAATTTCAGCTGGGCACCAGTCACGTGCAATAGACATTGCGTGACATTTTGGCTGGTGACCCATTTTTGCTAAGAATTAACCTTATGCTTTGATTGTAGTGTAATCCTTCTGGGTGGATTCCAGAAATCATTGAATAGGTAATTAGTACACTGTGAGAGAAAATGGGAAGCACACAGCACAGATAATTTATTCAGGATGATGCTGGCGTTATGGAGGAATGATGCATCCTTTTTATTCTTCTTGATGCAGAAATGACTGCTGTGAGAGATCAAGGAAATCTGTATTCATACTGTCTGACCTCCATTAACTAAATAAAATAAACAATTTTTATGGCTGTGCATGAAGCAGAACTCTAACATGCAAATCACTATTCTGAGCTGACAAAGATGGGTTTGCATCAACCGTATCAGTGTGAAAAAATGATCTGTAATTTTACAGACAAGTCATTCTCACAATGCAAAGACCGCTACTGAGAACCCCTGCTTGGAAAGTTCATTTTTTTTTATCTCCCCCCACAATCCCCAACCCCCTGAAGATCATTTAAAAATTTGTTCTAGATGTGAAAACATGGTAGCAGTTTCATTCATTGTTTCTCGTTCCAAAACCAGGCAAGCAGATGCAGTTGAGCGAAAAGGCGGAGGAGGTGGCCGGCTTCTACGCACGCATGTTGGACCATGACTATACAACGCGAGAGGTGTTCAACAAGAACTTCTTCAAGGACTGGAAGAAGGTAGGCAGGGATGCCTGAAATCCACAACCGTGGCTAAACTTAAAAAGTGTATTTTACGGTGCTGTTCCTTTTTTTTCCTCAGTGTATGAGAAGAGCTATATCCAAAAATTCCTGGGGTAGCCTGTAGAATTTTGGTCTCGTTTGGCTGCAAGGGGGTTTGGGGATTCTGTCAAAAAATTCAAAGAGGTCTTTAACCCTAACCCCCTAGGCCCTCTGGCTAGGATGCAACCTCAGTCCTGCAAAGTCCTCCAATTGCCACCAAGAAAATATTGGATTCAGCCTCAATCCTCCAAAATCATCCGTTATTTCTTGAATTTAGTCTGTGGAGGGTGACCACTGCCTCAATCCTCCGAAATCCTCTGCCAATTACTGCTATGGTTAGAGGCAGTGCGAATGGCGTTTAGAAGCAGTGCGGGTGAAATACGAGAAAAAGACAGGGCTGATTTATGCATGGCTGAACATAACCAATGCAGGATATGGCCTACTTGCTTGATATAATACATCCTCAACTAAAAAGCGATACATCTTTGCCATTCATCCTCAATCCTCTAAAATCATCCAAAACTGGCAGGAGGATTTTGGAGGATTGAGGGGGGGGTTAGGGTTAAAGGTAATATACAACATTTGCAAACATATAAAAACAAAACTACCAAATTATTATGAAATACCTCACTTGACTGTGAGTGAATAATAGTCTCAAGCATCCAATGAAATTATGGCATGTGGTCTGCTGTCATTTTCAAGAAAAGTGGAATTTTTGTATTGATTTCCAACAATGGTCAGCCGACCATTGTTGGGGAAAAACCTGCCTTTTTTTCAAATACTGCCCCCTCAATTTACCAAATTTAGTTAATCCACATATTGTTTGCAATCGGTTGCACATCTGTGAGTGGTTGCAAGCGAGCTAGTCTGGTTCCCTGACCTGACAATTTCCCAATGTCTATACATTGCTCTATTCCATCTGAAGTAGGGTCAGGGAACCAGACTACAAGAACAGCATTTTGTTCTTGGTTTTTCCAGCATCTACGAACATGAAACTTTAAACAGGTCAGTGTAACAATCTCTGCTATAAAATACTAATCCCCAAATCCATCCATTTCTGAAAATTACAGCAAAAGCAAATGTTGTGTATTCCCTTTAAGTTTTTGAGGTTTCTACAGGTAGGAATTCAAATGCAGGTAATATAGGCATGCAAGTTTTCCTCGGATCCACTGATTTCCTTGTTTTTTTTTTACTTCTCATGAATGCCATTACAGATTGAAAAACACTGTACAAAGTCTTGAATGGCTTGGAATGTCCTCGTTTTTTTTCTTCTAAATTCCCAGTTTCATGCCTGGATATACCCACCGTGCACTAACAGTGGATGGTGCTTTGTGACTGTATGCACGCATGCTGGTTTTGCACGTCTACTGGTTTTCCACGCGTAGTGCACCATGTACACACAGCTAAAGTTATTCCAAACGTCCACAAAACCTGTAGTCTTCATGTGAGCGCCAGGTGTGGTCTGCAGTGCGTTCAAATGTCCCTTCCAGCAGTTTTCCCCGAACTCTCCCTTTGTAACCGTTGCAGGGGGTACTTGTACACGGAGTACGCATCAAAAGGAAGAGCTGAATATGGAATAGGGCTGAACACTGCAACATTAGCAATAGGAGTAACTACAGTTTGGCTTCCTGCGAAATACTGAAGATGAAATAATGGAAAATGGGTCTTTTTTTTGTTTGTGTTTTTGCCTGATGTGCAGGAGATGACAGAACACGAGCGCAAGGTCATCCACAGTTTGAGTAAGTGTAACTTCAAGGAGATGCATCAGTACTTCCTGGAGAAGGCCGAGGAGAGGCGGAATTTGTCCAAGGATGAGAAACTGGTAAGGTGGTCTTGTCTTTCCTTTGCATACCTGACTGATAGTATCAGTATTTGTGCATTGACGGGGAGGTGTTCATATTTGAAGAAGCGTGGTCATCCTGGGAGGAATGATGCATCCTTTCTTATCCTTCTTGATGCGGAAATATTCCGGTCATGAGAGATCAAGGAAATCTGTATTCATACTGTCTGACCTCCAGAGGACCACGCCAACAGGATTTTAACAAACTTGCGAACCATTTCCAATATTTAAAAAAAAAACACACCAGAAATCAGAATTTATGTTTTGTCGAAACGGGGCCATGTTGAGTTGTCGACAGTCATTGTCCTCGCACATATATTAAGCACTGCTGTTCAACTTTTTGTACAGACCAATCCAAGTTGCCCACATTTTGCTGGTACGGCTTTCCACCATTTCTGGGATGCTCCAAAGCTTGCTTTGGTATTTTCACACCATGCACTCGCCTTTATTGACATGTTTAGAGCTATGCATAATGATGTATGTTCCGGCAAGGAAGCATCCCAGTAATGGCTACCTGAACCATCACCATAATTATCAAGGATTGGTTTTTAGCAGCTCAAACTATCATGCCCATATCAACCCCAGGTGACCAGCGCTTTTTTCCACTTCACTGATTTTACAACAAATGAAAGCCGGGAAGTTTCAAAATCTGAATAAAGCGCTCAAAACATTCCATTCATGCAAGTGAAGTACAGTAGAACACGGCTGTAACAAAGATGGCTATATTGGGGCTTGCTCTAATGAACATCTACTTCGGCTCCCAAAATTTTACACAAGTGTCCCAATCATTGGCTACCCCAAAAAGAAGACTATAATGAACAACTGTGATACTGAACAACATGTGGGTCTCATTGTGGTCATTATCCCTAACCCTGCCAGACGCAGCACAGTGCATCAGGTAGAAAGGTCTGGTTCACTTTGATGCATTCAGCTACCAACACCGGTGCGTAAACAGCCGCTTCTGAGACAATGAGAGTTGAGTTCCATTGAACAATGCCACAGTTGTATCCTGCTGGGTTCGGTGACCACAGACTCTGAGGCAATTTGGTCTTGAGACTCTTGGCCTACACTTGGCAGGCTTGTCATTTGGACAAGTGTTGCATGTTGCTGCGTTTGGCAGGGTTTCTAGCCAAAGTAACCTGGAGATATAGGGCTATAGTAAACTTCAAGTGTACAATGTCTCCCATGGCATCTTCGTGTGAGCGTCAGGCGGGGCAGGCAGTGCATAAGAATATCCCTCCCAGTGCTCTCCCCAACTCTCCTTTTGTATTCATTGAGGGGGTACTTTTGAACGGAACCCATATTTCCACTCTAAATAAAGTCACAGTATGCCTCGCTCCAGAAATGCTTTCGGCCTACAGCATCATACACTTTGCAGAAAGTCTTGTCACAATAAGGGTAAAACCACTATAAGCAGAATCCCAAAGTCAGTTCTGGTCACTTGCGTTCATCACTCCAGGCAAACAAGCAGAAAAACGAAGATCTCCTGCAGGAGTACGGGTTCTGCAGCATTGACGGCCACCGAGAGAAGATGGGCAACTTCAGGATTGAACCTCCGGGCCTGTTCCGCGGCCGAGGCGATCACCCGAAACAGGGGATGCTGAAGAAGCGCGTGTACCCGGCGGATGTCATCATCAACTGCAGCAAGTGAGTCTGGATAAGTGTAGTCTTGGTCCAAGTACATATTATGGATGCTTAAGCGTATGATGCAAAATTTCTCAGGTCTGATTACCAAAATTCCCAAGACTGGAATTGATTCATTTTGTTGTGAGTGACCTCTTTTGCCATGTCGGATTGGCTATGCTTGTCTTGGGGGTGGGGGGGGGGGGGGAATCTACAATCAGTCCTGGACCAATACGAGAATAAATATGGCTTTTACATGTAAATCTAAACTAAGAGGGGGTAGATACGCTTGTGGTAGCAGTCACTTACCAAATTTTATGAGTAATTCATTTGGTGAGTAAACAGGTTTACAAATTACTGTGCAGATTTTCATACAACAGGAATCTTGTTTGTGTTTCATGTTTCATTCACCATTACAAATTGGTGTGGTCAGTGCATGGACCTGTGAAAAGCAACAAGTTGATATAGAACTTGACTTGAAGTTGAGCTAAACAAGGCAAGACATGCTGCGTGTGCACACTAGTCATTGCATACAAACTTTGGACTAAAAGTGTTCAATATGTTATATGCCTGAACGTGGACGTACAATGGCATATGCTCAGTTATTACCATTGAGGATATGCTTGATTATGCAGTCCAGTTGAGTCGTGGAGCATGTGTAGTGAATCCCACAAGGTGGTGTTCCAGTTTTCTACTTTCATTTTAACAACACGTTAGTCATTTTACCGCCCGAAACTGTCTTGCCAGTGACTCCCTGTCCAGTCCCAAACTCCCCCAACACTCAATGGTGTTATGGGTTTATCAGGCAAATAAATCAACATATTACAGATGCTAATGGGTTGGTAATTTTTCCACCGACAGGGACTCCAAAATCCCTGTGGCGCCGGAGGGCCACCGATGGAAACAGGTGATCCACGACAACAGCGTGACCTGGCTGTGCTCCTGGACTGAGAATATCCAGGGTGCCATCAAGTACGTCATGCTCAACCCCAGCTCCAGGCTAAAGGCAAGTATATAGTTAGCTTGGTACCGTGTGGTTTGTCAGTGTGGTTTGTCAGTGGTCATGGTTACAGTCATGTTCTGTCATGGTCGTGGTCATGGTCACGGTCATGGTCATGGCTGTGCTCCTGGACTGAAAATATCCATGGGGCCATCAAGTAGGTCGTGCTCAATCCCAGCTCCAGGCTAAAGGCAAGTATATAGTCGGCTTGGGGTGGTGTGGTTTGTCATTGTCATGGTCATGGTTACAGTCATGTTCTGTCATAGTCGTAGTTATGGTCATGGTCATGGTGCATGGCTGTGCTTTTGGACTGAAAATATCCAGGGGGCCATCAAGTACTTCATGCTCAATCCCAGCTCCAGGCTAAAGGCAAGTATATAGTCAGCTTGGGGTGGTGTGGTTTGTCATTGTCATGGTCATGGTCATGGTTACAGTCATGTTCTGTCATAGTCGTAGTCATGGTCATGGTGCATGGTTGTGCTTTTGGACTGAAAATATCCAGGGGGCCATCAAGTTGGTCATGCTCAATCCCAACTCCAGGCTAAAGGCAAGTATATAGTCGGCTTGGGGTGGTGTGGTTTGTCATTGTCATGGTCATGGTTACAGTCATGTTCTGTCATAGTCGTAGTTATGGTCATGGTCATGGTGCATGGCTGTGCTTCTGGACTGAAAATATCCAGGGGGCCATGAAGTAGGTCGTGCTCAATCCCAGCTCCATGTCGTCGTGTTTATCGTCATGGATTTATCACAGTAATGGTTATTGTTGTGGCCATGGTATTTGTCATGGCCATGATAATTGTCAATGTGATGGTCATGGTCATGGTCATGGTCATGACAATTGACTATCATGGTTTTGGACATCTTAATTGCCACTGTCATTGTCATTCACTTCCACTTCGTAACCCTCCTCTTTACATCAACAAATCAAACGTTTTATTGTTAACTACCTTCAATATTATTCCAGACTTTACACGGGAACTTCGTTCATGCACCAAAATCCTACACTAGAGCAGGGTCATTCCATGCCAACTCAACAAATGGTGCACGCCATCACCTCTTGGATTTTTTTCTTTTTTGGTGTACTGAAAGATACTTAGGAGAAATGCAAATTCTGAAAATTTGGGGTCTCTATGACTTTTCGTTCTTGCGCAACAGCATTTTGAAATTTGAGGTGGGCGGGGCTAAAAGTGCATCGCGTCAAGAAATTCAATGTTTAAAGGGCCATATATTTAAAACTATACCCCCCAGACATTTCAAACTTGGTAATCTGGGCTACTTTTTGCTGTAGATTTCAAATATTTAAACAGAAAGAAAGTAGCTTGTTTCATTTTTAAGTTAAAGGGGCCCCAAAATGGCCCAAAACTCATCTGGACCAATGTTCGGGGGGGTGTAAGTCAAAAATTGAAAATATTTTTTTCACCAAATTTTTTGCCTGTAATAGCCCCCAATTGAAACTACTTTCATGTAAAATCTTACACTTATATTAACTTCATTGAATGAGATATAGCCCTTGCAAAAAGCAAATTGTTTATTTTTACGACAACTTGACCCCCCCAAAAACCAACGTCAGACATTCCGCACCAAATTTTGCTTCACATATGTTTGAGGTTGGTCCTTAGTGAAGTCCTCTGAAAAGTTTCATGTTGGTGTCTAAATGTCTTCAGTAGATAGCTGGGCTTTATAATGAGTCTTACGGTGCTGGTTCCGTAACATACAAGTACACGTACATAGAATAAAACAGCAGTTGGTACATAAAGAATAAGTTGGGTATGAAACTTAGCTTACATTTGTACATGTAGACAGTTGATATAATTTTTTACAGTTTCACAGGTGAAATTATGCATTCCTTGTGATGTAGTTTTGATGAAGTTGAATGAGTTGCATGATGGTTGGCTCACTAAGTTTGTATTGCCTTCCACCGCTATGTAGAGGTTCTGGTGTTGGTACGCAACACAACACATCAACAAATGGAATGTTACATTTATCCTCTCTTTGTGGCCAATAGAGAGTATTTGTTGATTCCGTCCTGTACATGAAGCAGACATACACATCTGCATGAAGTTGTGATACATATACATCTTCTACAATTTAGCAATGTACCAAACATCATCATAGACCACACAAACATATTTTCCTGGGTTGAGGTCAGCTGCTACAATTGGTGCATGATGAGTTTGAGCATACATGCAACTCCTTGGATGAACTAGGTTTCCCCTTATCCATAATGAAAACTAAGATCAATCAGGTTAAAACCATAGACCCTCTACTCAAACTGAATCACTTCTCTTTGGTTCAGGTTATGCTATACTATGTTGTGCAAGTGAGAACTGGTTAATTACTACATAAATGACATGCATGCTGTGTGATGAGCACATGGAAAGAATTAGACTCTCAAGTCATTTAACCTAATTTGCATATAATGCACACATAGGTCTACAAGCAACTGTTTATTGAGCAGGAAATGGGTAGTCTTGACCCAAGTCTTTCAACAGTCGGGGGATTTTGTTGTGCTGGTTCCGTAAAATACAAGTACATGTACATGTATGTTACGGAACCTGCAGCATCATAAGATATAGACTCTTTATAAAGCCCAGCTATCCACTGAAGAAATTTAGACACCAACATGAAACTTTTCAGAAGACTTCACTAAGGACCAACCTCAAACATATGTGAAGCAAAATTTGGTGCGGAATGTCTGACGTTGGTTTTTGGGGGGGTCAAGTTGTCGTAAAAATAAACAATTTGCTTTTTGCAAGGGCTATATTTCATTCAATGAAGTTAATATAAGTGTAAGATTTTACATGAAAGTAGTTTTAATTGGGGGCTATTACAGGCGAAAAATTTGGTGAAAAAAATATTTTCAATTTTTGACTTACACCCCCCCGAACATTGGTCCAGATGAGTTTTGGGCCATTTTGGGGCCCCTCTAACTTAAAAATGAAACAAGCTACTTTCTTTCTGTTTAAATATTTGAAATCTACAGCAAAAAGTAGCCCAGATTACCAAGTTTGAAATGTCTGGGGGGTATAGTTTTAAATATATGGCCCTTTAAACATTGAATTTCTTGACGCGACGCACTTTTGGCCCCGCCCACCTCAAATTTCAAAATGCTGTTGCGCAAGAACGAAAAGTCGTAGAGACCCCAAATTTTCAGAATTTGCATTTCTCCTAAGTATCTTTCAGTACACCAAAAAAGAAAAAAATCCAAGAGGTGATGGTGTGCACCATTTGTTGAGTTGGCATGGAATGACCCAGCAGCGAACCAATTTTACACTTTGTATCTTTAACTTAAAATGTGAATATGAAAGTTCAGTGTGATAAGTTGTGACTTGGCTGTTCTGTGTAGTGAAAACCTTAATACTTTGATCGTAGTGTAATCATACTGGATGGATTCCAGAAATCATTCAATAGGAAATGAGTAAACTGTGGGAAAGAATCGAGAAACACAGATAATTTAAATAGGATGATGCTGGCGTTATGGAGGAATGATGCATCCTTTTTATCCTTCTTGATGCAGAAATGACTCTGCTGTGAGAGATCAAGGAAACCTGTATTCATACTGTCTGACCTCCGTTAACCAAATAAAATAAAAAATTTTTTATGGCTGTGCATGAAGCAGAACTCTTAACATGCAAGTCACTATTCCGAGCTGACAACACAAAGATAGGTTTGCATCAACCGTATCAGTGAGAACGATGTGTAATGTTACAGACAAGTCATTCTCACAAGGCATAGACCACTATTGGAACCCCTGCTTGTAAAGTTTTCAGGGAAAACTGCAAACAGATCTCCTTACAAAGTGGCCTGTCATGTAAACATGGAATTTTCACTTTGAAATACTTTCAAGTCAGTTTTCTCTGGTGTTTTGGGTTTTCATCTGTGCAGGGTGAAAAGGATTGGGCCAAGTACGAGACGGCGCGCAAGCTGAAAAAGTGCGTGGAGAAGATCCGGGCCAACTACCGGGAAGACTTCAAGAGTAAAGAGATGCGTATCAGGCAGCGGGCCGTGGCACTCTACTTCATTGACAAGGTACCACATCCAACGTTGTACATAACAGTAGACATTTTGTATGTTACAAGGAGCCATGGAAAGTTTAGTCTGAGTACCACCTGTTGTCCAACTGAGCCCTCTCTGTCTCCGGTCCAGTGTCTGATATACCTAAGCATGCAAATTTATGCAACCCAACAGAAAGCCCCCGCTTAATAGTCAGAGCCTTGAGGTCAAGACACAGTCTTGTTTTGTTTAATTAATTGCCGTGTCTGCTCGCATATGATAGACCTTGCTGTGCAAGGGGATATTCCATAGACTAGGAAAGTTGATGTTCCAAGAAAAAAAAGTCATGGAATCCTGCACAACCCATACGTGATGATATGTAATATTTGGCTGTGCCAGTCTTCCATTTTGCGTTCAAGTCTACTATACTTACTCTTTATGCATGTATGCTCTTATACCTATTACGTGTTCAGTGCACCATTGTGACACTGTTGTGGTGCTCAGTGGTCTTGTGACAAAACTGGAAGACTAAAATGGAGTGGTGTCCCTTTCTCTCCAGAGCAATAGGCCCCTTAGGTGCCAAAGCAGCGTAGGAATCGGTCAGAGAAAGCCTGAAATTTGTCCTGTGAAAGTCGTAGAAAAGTCATGGAATTTCATTTCAAGATTTCTGTGGGAAAACTGTTGGTGGATTTTGAAGGATGTGGGTGGGGAATGACCCGTACAGGCTTAATATTGAGGATTTTGCGGCCTACCCAGTTCGTAAGTGACTTCGTCATATGCGCGCGCGAACCACTGATTACTAGTGCCATTGGCTAGACACGCCACTTCGCACTTCTGGCTCCAATGCTACACCGCATGCAGTATGCATGGCTAAGTTGAAATGACGTCACACTTACGAACCGGATATTCTACAAGTCTTTATTAAAGCAAATCAGCTAAGTAATCGCTTGCTGTTTTTTTTTTTGGTGTTGATCAGTTGGCGCTCAGGGCCGGTAACGAGAAAGAAGAAGGCGAGGGTGCAGACACTGTGGGCTGCTGCTCACTGCGTGTGGAACACCTGACTCTACACCAGGAGAAAGACGGACAAGAATTTGTGGTGGAGTTTGATTTCCTGGGTAAGGACTCCATCCGCTACCAGAACAGTGTGCCAGTCGAAAAGAGGGTAAGTGTCACCGGGCTGGGATTAAACACTTCATTACTTCAAAAAAAATTAGGATAGGCCATTTGAAGTGCCATGGCCTCGTGGTCTTGAGCATTGGACTCATAGTCTGTGGTTAATTCTGCAGGTTGTGGGTTTGAGTCCAGTCTGGGGGTTGCGGTGTGCGTGTGCCCTTGGGCAAGGCACTTTTTCACTTATTGCTTCTGCCCATCCAGGAGTAACTTCGAATATGCGAGGGTAGAGATGGTTATTTTGATTGATTTTAGCTGCTTTGTGCCAACATGGTAGCAGGGAGCTGAGGTTGCCTTTTGAATGTTTTATTGGCCCGATGATCAGGGGTATTTATGTATTAAGAGCTTTGATCTTAGTTGAAAGCACTATTATTATTATTATTATTGGGTACCAAGACAGTCAGCCTTGTATTACAGAAAGGTCTTTGGTCGAAGTCCCACTGGTACATGCCTGTAAAGTTTTTCCTCACAATCTCTTCGTTTGCTCTAAGTAAACAGTACCTATAAAATCACATTGGTGAAAAACACAAGTCACTTTTAAATTTCAAATTCCATGAACAGTCACTGGGTAAAAGTCCTTTAAGATGTAGACAACTGATATAATAAATAATTTTGTTTGTAATACTTTTTTTAACAGTGCATGACATTTGAGGTGATTTTTTTTTGAGAATTTGAAACTTACTTTAGGGCCTGTCTCAATGGTATCTGGGACAAGTTTGGGACAAGTTGCAGGTAGAATCATTCACCTTGTCCAGAAGAAGCTCTGCATTTGTCCTGGACATGTTCGGGGGAAATTTGCATGAGCAACTGCTCGACTCAACAATGCTGATAACTGAAGTTGTTCAGAATCGTGCAACTTATACCCGATACAATGTCCGCAACTTGTCCGCAAATCGTCCGGGATGTGAATTGAGACAGGCAAAAAGATTGGCCTCAAAGGGACACAGAAAGTTTAACCTCAGATCATTTCAAAAAGGCAAATGGTATCCAGTCAAATTTGCAGGTTTTTCAAAGGAAACTAAGGCATAAATAGCATAGAACGACAAGAAGCCTTGAATTTCAGGGTCAACCTACGGTTTGTGGCCCCAAGATCAAGGGGCACTGCAACAAAGGCAAGGGCATCAACGCCAATGGCCCTCCATTCTTTAACAAATCCCCTGTCCTAAATAACCCAACAAACATTTCCTGCCTCAGGTGTTCCGGAATCTGAACCTGTTCATGGAGAACAAGCAAGAAGGGGACGACCTGTTTGACCGCTTGACCACCGCCATCCTGAACAAGCACCTGCAGGAGTTGATGGAGGGACTGACCGCCAAGGTCTTCAGGACCTACAACGCCTCCTCCACGCTGCAGAACCAACTGGATGAGCTGACAATAGGTTTGGCTTCTTTTTCCCTGTCATGTTCCTCAGTGTCCTTGACTTGGTCCAAGACCAGATTAGTCTTGCATCAACACGTTGTATATTGAATATGCAGTCCCCCGCTGAAAGAGAGCGTTGTCAAAACAAGCCACTACTACCCATAAACACAACAACTTGGAAATCTTGTAGTGATTGTGACATGCCCGCATCTGATTTACACATTTTCTCTAAACCAAACTCTGAAATTTCAGCCAGTAGCATCCAAGATGCTACCAGACTTGTGTGCTATTTCATGGCAGCTTGTTTGTCATATATAGTACGCGTGCGACCGAAAAATGGACTGTGTTTGCCGGAAAAGTAGCGCATGGGCACTAGCTCTCCCCGTTTTGTCAGGGGGAGATTTAACAAGATTCCCAAGACGTTATGAATAACGACTTGCAGGTAGCAGTTTGTTTTGATAACGCCCACTTCCGGGGGGTGATGTCGTATCCAATATACAACAACGACATCTTGACCCAAGACGAAGACTGGATTTGAAATTTGTTTCCCTTCTGCAGCCAGTGCCCACAGTAAAGCTATATTCAAGCCAATGCATGCATGGGAGATATGCGTGAGATTTCTTGGGTCCGAGTAAAAAAGTTCCCCAGTCTGGAGTTGATTGATCTTGTTGATATCGCCCTGTACTGCTGTGGTAACTTGACCTCACTTGTCAAGGACTGGCTGAATTACAGGGAACAAAAACCAAATCCAGTCTTGGGCCAAGACTACAGTGCCCCTTGTGCTGCGACCTCTCACCTTTGACCTTGCAGCTGTTCTCAAGTGCTTCCAATTCCCCATCTTACTTGCACATCATGTTATGCCGAGGTCACAAGCTTTTCCTTTGCGTTAGTTTAGGCCTCTTGCACAGCCACTGGATTTCCATTATTTTCATACGTAGCGTGAAAGATCAACCGTTTATGATCAATTCACCATTCCAACTCAAAAGTTAGGGGCAGGCCGCTTTGCTGCATGCACACAAGCAAGACTCTTTGCATGTTGTTTGCCTTTTTACAGACCGAACGCAAGAAAAAATTAACTGAGCTAATTTTTTTTTTTTCTCTTGATGTGCAGAGGAAGACTCGGTGCCGGCCAAGATCCTGGCCTACAACCGAGCCAACCGGGCCGTGGCCATCCTGTGCAACCATCAACGGGCCGCCCCCAAGACGTTTGACAAGCAGATGGAGAACCTTCAGGCTAAGATTAAGGCCAAGCACGAGGCCATCAAGAAGGCTCGGAAGGAGTTCAAGGCCATGAAGAATGAGTACAAATCCAGCCGTAACGAAAAGGTCAAAAGGTGAGTGTACCACCCCGGTTTAGAATGTGGTGCCTGAGTAGTGTGGTTGGTGTAAACCTAGCTGAGTTATAAAAAAGAAATCAGTGTTTTAAAGTTGGTATCGGTATGGATTCCATGCATGAACAGTACTTCGCGCTTTGAAACCACTTTCGAAAGCCCCAGTGGGAGGGACTGGTTAGCTCGTGCACTGGTTAACACGCATATGGCGCATTAACAATTAACAATTGTTGACTGCTGTGATGTGGGATTTGGCATTTTTAACACCGGAGGGGCGCATAGCTGAGAGTGCTATGCACCCCGACAGGGGTTTTAGAACGGCATATCTCACATCACAGCAGTCAACAATTGTTTTGTTATATCGCGCCAATAAGTAAAAAAAACGAAAGGTTTTCAACTCTCTATTCGAGAAATAAATGAAATCACTGCAGTGTAACCTTTTGATTACTGTGAGCTTTGCTGCCAGACATGAGATTGAGAGGTTGCAGTTCTCTGTTACAAGGCACACAGGCCCTACACACGCACCCTGCAACATATGCAATGCGGTGTATATGAGATAATTTCTATGTAATGCGGTGTATAAGAGCTGCACAGCTGCAACACAGTGTATATGATGTTAATGGTAATTTTATAGACTGAACATGTGGTTGTTTGGACCAATGAAATGACAGTATCCGAGACATGATATAACAACATATATTGGCACATGATATGCGTTAATATTGTCATTGTACATTCAAATTTTCTGCCAAACATGCCAGAGCCCAGTTTTATATGTTCATATGGTAATGTTTCCGAGTGAGCTCTACAAACGCCCCAAAGGTATGGTATTTTGTGGTGTCAGATGGTTTGGGGCAATGTCTTAGTATGCATGATTCAGTGAATTTACTCTCTCTTTGCTCTTGTGTGTCTGTCAGTGCCCTGGAGCGTAAGAAGACCCAAGTGGAGCGTCTAGAGGAACAGCTGACCAAGCTGGAGGTGAGCGCTACAGACAAGGAGGAGAACAAGGAGATTGCGCTGGGCACCTCCAAGCTGAACTACCTGGACCCTCGCATCTCGGTGGCCTGGTGAGTTTTCATCAACTTGACCTTTGTTAAACTACGACATGCAACTTTTCCTCGGATCTGCTGATTTCCTTGTTTTTTCACTTCTCATGAATGCCATTACAAATTTAAAAAACACTGTACAAAGTCTTGTGTGGTTTGGAGTTTCCAAAAATGGGAGGATGGATTTTTTGGGGTGGTTAGGGTTTATCCAGGTACGCTTTGTGATAATAACTTGGTCAGTTACTAAGGGGATAAATACTAGTGATCCTGTTAAGAGGGGACGCGCATGTGCTATTTCTGCGACATGCGCCCACACTCGGGGTGCACTTTACGCATATGAGGACACCATTGGGATCTTTCACAGTTCACTGATAATTTATTTATTTTATTATTCCCCCCCACCCCCCAGGACGAAGAAATGGGCAGTTCCCATCGAGAAGATCTACAACCGCACCCAACGGGACAAGTTCCGATGGGCCATCGACATGGCGGGACCCGATTTTGTATTTTAACGAGAGGCAAGACTTATATATTTTCTAGACAAATCACAAACACATTCAAACATTTGACAAACCGTTATTATTTGTACAGATACATAGTAGAACGTTTTTGATGTTAAAAAAAAGCATTTACTACTTTAAGAGCGTCTTAAAATCCTCCTAGCCACCGATAATGAATCAGATTCTTGGTTTTTTTCCGCGTTGTAAGAGATTTTTTTAAAATGTACTTGAAAACAAATAAAAATAGCTGCCAGTCCTGTGATTTTTTTTCTTTTTCTGCGGAGTGACAACTTCTGTTGAATGAAATTCACGGCAGTTTTTTTTTTTTTTTACAAATACGGTGGCCTTTGGGTCTTATTTTAATAATGTACATGTATGTATTTTCTGTTGGGATCCATGTTTGTGGAATGTACATTGAGGAGTAAACTCGCGCTAAACTTTGGAAAGTTATTGTAGCACTCGTGTTTGTTTAGTAGGCTTATTTTTTTATTTAATGGGGCAGTTGTGACAAATTTGGAGGGAATTTGCAAGTTATAAGCCAAGTTTGTTAACTTTTGAAATTCTCCTGTACCTGAATTTTGTCTCTTTTTTTTTTCATCCAACTGCCCATTTTTAAATGGATGTTGAAATTGCCAAGTATTTTTTGTTTCTTTTTTAAGTTTATTGCTTCCAATTTTTGAGTGAGGGAAAATTTGTTTCTCAATTTTATGTTTTGTTTTGAAGGATGAATAAGCAATATTTCTTAGCTGGATATTCGTCACCTGTCAGAAAAACAGTTCTTTAAAACTTGGAAGTGAAATGTTAAATCCCATGCCTTAATCAATTTGAAGTTTGTCAAGCGCAACAGCCCATCAATTAAAACTGAAAAAACTGCACATGACATCATGTAGTTCAATCTGACGTTGGCGACATCATGCTAGCAACTGATTTTGTATTTTGAGATGTGTGCCTGAATTTTATTACCTGACAATTTGTGACGGGCTCCACAAAAAAAGGGTATTATGTCGCAAAAAAGTGAAATTGAGTTATATAGGTGGTTGGAAAGCCCACAATGTAAGCTTTCATTTGGTACATAAAGAGCTCCATAGCCCCTCCCGTTCTGGAGATATGATGTATTTGCATATTAATTACTTCCTTGGAGTTCAAATTACACAACTGAGAAAACAGGCTTTAAAATAGCTGGCTTTGTTGTAGAACAACAGAATGTTGAACACAAAATGGTTGTTTTCTCCCACTTTGTTCATCAAAATCAACATTTCTGTGAATGAAACCTGAAAGTGTAGGTATAAAAGCTGACATTTAGGACAAAAAATGAAAATCACATTTTGACGAAATTTTCACCCTCTCAATTTTGAGCGGGCCACTACACAATAATGCTCAGTGCGACTTAATACCCTTTTTTTGTTGTTGAGCCGGTCACATTTGTGAATGCTTCTCCATTATTTTATAAAATACACAGAGGAAGGCTAGAAATTTGAACACCATTTTAAACTTTTTTTGTGATTCCTTGTGTTAGTGCAGCATAAGACGGGGAAGGGCTTTCTTTTTTTGTACATATCGTCACTGTGTAACGGCGCCATTGTGTCGGCCAGTGCTGTTGCTTTCATCAGCTAGTATTGCACAAAAGTAAACTAGTTTTCTTGTAGTTGAACTATTTCAGGCAGGGACCACAGAGGTTGATTTCAAACTTTCTTCCAATCCCCCCAAATATATTTCAGGTAGAAAAGCAGGACTTTTATATTCTTCCGCTTGGTTGCACTTGCTTGAATCAATGTGACAAAGTAATGTGCTATCTTGTAAGTGATGTTTGATTTAATATATTATAAGCCAACGCGCAGTATTACATGTTTGTCGTAAAAGGTGTACCGAAATCAATAATCTTCATCAGTGTACGCCACAGTGGAAAAGTCAACACGTGTCAGGTTTCGCACTCTTCTAGCTTGGATCCCTTTTTTTGTATTTCAATTTTGTGTATTACTTGCTTTATTTATTCTGTATAAAGCCCAACTCATCAGGTGTTATGGATTGGAGTCCAAGGCAGGGATTGTGCATTTACGATTGGCCAGTACGGTTTACATCCATATCCAGTTGGACCAATCGCAGTGCTAGTTGAGAACACTCTGCACTCCGATTGGCTGCCGAGTTTTTGCCAGCGGCTATGGGAGTCAATTCTTCCTATCATGTTTTTTATTGCTGACTAGGCCAACTTGTGCATTAACTGTTTTACCTTTTTTTGATACATAGACCCTTTCCACTCCTTCCACTTCAGTCGGCCATTTTGTGAGTTAAGCAGTCAGTAGAATGAAAGCTTGTTCACAATAGGCAGTTTGTTTAACTTTTCTGCCATATCCTTATATAATATATACAACTTGTGGTGTTGAAATGCTGTCATCTTCACTGTTATTGCACAGTGAAATCTTGACAAGTCAAACCTCAAGGGAACAGGTTCGAATTTTGACTTTAAACAGAGTTTTGAGTGGAAAGAATTCCATACAAGGCCACCACTCAAATTCCTTAATATGACCTGAAAGTACTGAAAATTGTAAATCTGATGAAGAAACACTATTTTAGGAGTGCAAAATTCTTTAATAATATAACTTTTTCTGTCATGGCCCATAGACTTTGTGCAGGAGGTCTGAGTGGTGGCCTTGTATGGAATTCTTTCAGTTTTGAGTTATCAGAGTTTGACTTATCGAGATTTCACTGTAAATCACTTTGGCCAACAGTTTACTACGATGGAAGACCTTATAATAACTTGTAGTATCATGTGGTGGGATTTCTCATACCATTTAATTAGTGTGTGGAATTATGTGGTTTGCACATGTTTACGCTGTGAATGTGTCCAACCCCAAAAATGCGGTTGTTGAATTGGTAAGGGTGGAGAGGAACAAGTTGTCTTAAAATAGTGCAATTGTTGTTTAGCACATCCATCTTAAAAAAAAAAATGAATGACTCGGAATGAAATGTGAAGTCTGGCTCCAAATATAATTTGTCCATTGAGCCAACTATTGAAAGTCAGTAGATTTAATGTTTCACTGCTTTGCTCCCTACTACAACTTGATGTAAACATTGGATGAGAATTTGAATAATAAATTTGCTTAATTTACCCTCATAATTACCAGTTTTATGCAATTGTGTTGGTTAGTCATGCATTCACACGGTCTCTGTGATCTTGCTTTGCTTGCCTTGGCACTATGGTCTAGACATAAGCAATGCAATTTTCTTTTTGTTAAAACAAGTGCGAGTGCACAATAAGCTCTGGCCGTGTTGCAAGAAGTCTTGCGTGAAGGTCTTGCATGAAATCGATCAAAATGATCCCTGCCACAGCTTAAAAATGCAATGCCTAAAAATGTGGCGTCAATGGCACATATGGAACACCATACTTTTGGTCAATTTTCGGGGAGGGACAGACAGACAGACACCACGACCAACCACCAAGTGACATGTTAAAGCTCCTGTCAGAGCTTAAAAACCTTCAGCCACTGACCAATATGAGAAATGTTGAAGACCGTTAGTGTAAAGAGCGGCATTTAGTTCCATCTAAAACCTGTGCAGGCCTGCCCCAGATGAACCTTTCAACTTAAGACATATCTTGCATCTGCTGCACATAACCACTCCCTAACTTTTCCTATACCTGCCATACATCAACAATGCTTTATTCCTAGGTTAGTAAGGATGTGGAACAGTGTTCCTGATGAACATTGGTTCAAACTAGAGTCTCTCACTAAATTTATGTCTGCAGCTGTTATTAACCATCTTACAAATAAGAACTTTGACTCGCTGTGAATGCGATTCCTTATGCTTCTGCAGTCGACTCTCGTTAATACGAGCACAGTTAAGACGAGATTTCGGAGAACATGATTTAACTTTTGAAGGCAAATTCATTGCAATTTCAACAAGAGCATGTGGCCTATGCATGAGCTACATGAACGATCCATGATGCATGTTGGCGAGTGCGCGAAAAATGCTTGTCGCTTAATAAGAGCTATTGTCATATTTAGTCCCGAGGACCTCGTATTAACGACGAGAGTCGACTGCACATGTATTATGCCGAAATGATTGGCGTTATTATGGAAAAACGGAACATAAAGTTTCTGCAAATTTTCGTTCCTGCTCTTCCTCTATTTAGACTTCACTGAGTACTAGAAATTATAACAAGGAATAATTGTTTTAATAGAAACTATCTGCGCATTCAACAAGCCAAAAAAAAAACATCCACATTGCTCAAAAGCTAGAGGCTAATACCGATTACAGTACATGTACAACATCGCATCGGATAGTCAGAAAGACGTCTTGTTCGTTTTTTTCTAGATCACCTTAAGTCATTCTTTAAACTTGACTTTGCTTTTCCTTTCCGTTGTGTGTTTTTCCGCTGCGTGTTTTTCGTCATGATCTTTCATCCGTCGAGGCACCTTGACGCTCAGCTTCCCAGTCTTGGCCAAAAACACCGAGACATCCTCCACAATGACGTCTTCGGGCAGCGTGTACCGGCGGCTGAACTCCCGGGTGACATTGGCCTTTTCCCCCGGGCTCCCCTCGGCGTGTTTGCCCTTAATGACGACGTGGTCTCCCACGATCTTGACGGCCAGTTCCTCCGGCGCGTACGCGGCAACATCCACGTCCACCCGGAACTCCTTGGGACTCACTTGCACCTCGGCACTGCCGCTCTGCTGCTGGATATGCTTGGGGATCATCATAGTTGGAGGACCCTTAAAAGGGTCCTTGGTGGAAGACTTCGGTTGCAGTTGACCGTCACTTGACCTACGTAACTCGGCGTCGAATACAGGGTCGGTGCCTCTTATTGGCTTAATCTGACGGGGCATCATCGCGGGTGGAGGTCCAACGAATATCTGACCGTCGTTCACCGGAAACATCGGCGGTAACTGGCCATCGCTAGACCGTCGTACGTCGCCGACAGGCGGTTTCACACCACCGCTTTTTGTCTTTGGGACGAACTGCTGGGAACCACGTGTTGACCCAATTGGGACGCCCTTGCTGGGAAACATCGGCGGTAGCTGACCATCGCTGGACCGGCGTTGTTCGTGGAGCTGAAACCGAGGACCGGACGCTGGGTGTAGACGATTAGCATGTGGGGAAGAGGTCGGCAAGCCCTCTGCCAGTTTCTGCTCACAGTGACGCCGAACGTGTTGCTTGAACGCCTCAGTCTGCAATGGACTTCCCGAGCTTAAAGACATGGTTACAGTGTTGATCCCTAAGTAATTTGTAAGTCTTTACAATAATTAGCAAATGTCAGATAAACTTCACTGTTAAAATGATGTTTAAACTTTTACAGCAACAGCTCACGATTATGTGTAGCGGACAGCGGACAGAAGACGAGTTTATAAACAGTTTGACCGAGTTCTAGAAGATTCTGTGAGATCTGAAAAATGTTTTCAGCGACGGTTACACAAATATTTATTGTTGTCGTTCAGCAACTGCTACAAACTTACCAACGATCCCACGCACACGAGTTGTACGTGACTTCAGTCGCCTCTGAATGCCTTGAAATGCGACATTGACACAACCATTGACCTACAAACTCTCTTTTGTTTGCGTGAATGCCAGAGCTCTGTTTTTCATTCGTTAGTGGGATAATAACGCCCGTTTTTGAGTTGGAAAAGTAGGACGAAATTGTTTTCGCCTAAGTGGATCTTTTGTTACGAGAATTTCATGAACATTCTTTGGATAGTTTGCACAGCGGTTGCGCTTATTGTGTGACCAGGTTGTTTTAGCAGCCGAACAAAAGGCAGCCTTGGAACTTTCTTGGTCATCATAAACAATATGCAAGTCTACGTACGTACGGGAGTCGGGAGTGGGAATTCCGTGGTGTCCCCCCCCCCCCTCCTTAAAGGCCGCAGTTTAAAAGGGGGGGGGGGGTATGCACTAAATAGAAGATCACAAACCTGTTAACCCGCCCCCTTGAGACAAAGCTGGATCCGCCCCTGATATGCATATTAAGCGCTACATGAGATTCTCCGGTTATAACGAAGTTGTTCGGAATGTGGCCCAATAATCACAAACCTTAAATATTGAAGTGTAAAAATTACTTATAGGTCTCAGATATCTTCCTTATTTTTGTCATTATTCGGAAGAAAAAAATTATAAAGATTTTTAAACAGCCGTTTTGGCCGCTTTTTGAGATGGTTTATGACGTCGATGAATTCAGCTATCACGCTAGTCTTGGCCCAGGACGCTAGTGGATGGTGCATCGAGCCCTCTAATGGCACAACAATGACCAGCAGGCCTACTCGCAAAACGTCTTGGCCATTTCGTTTCAGCGTTTTTACTTTTTTTCCCCTAAGCTTTCCCAGGGAACCGATCAGTGATCGAGAAAATGAATCAATGGCTCGCCCAACGGTTGTAAACATACGCGCTGTACTGCGGTGATCAAGCATGGAGCTACAAAAAGGAACTGTGTTTGTTCAAATTTATTCAGACGATCTATTTACATAAAATGGCCCCGCCCCCATTGCTACGAAATGACCAAGACGTTAGTGAGAGAAAGTAAACACACAATTATGCAAGGGCGCTTCACAACAATGCAACTATCGCTCTTGATCACTGACGTCTTGTGCCAAGACTACTATCACGCTAACTGTTCATTAAATTTCTGTGACTTATATTTAAAAAGGGGGGGGGGGGCTGAGTTACCCCCGACGAAAATGGAACCATTTCAAAGGAACGCGAACAAGTAACAATTCAAGAGACATCAGTCATTATTCACTTTAATTTATTTGCTTATGAATCATTAGTACTCAACACAGGCTGTATTTGTTTTCTTTTAACCCTACCCCAAAGGTGTGTGAAAAATCATATTAATATTTGAGTATTTAGGATAGCTTTTAAGAGAATTTATGGAATTTTAAAAATAGATTGAACATTTTTTTTGGTCAGGAATTCCATACAGCAAATGATTGGTAAGGCGTTTAGGTAATACTGTTTGAGATAATAATTATTTGTGACCCCAAAAGTGGGGATTGAACAGGTTTGTCACTCATTAAAAGTATTATTTGATATCATATTGTAGTTTATAATGGGCATTTTTTATATACAGATCTACAATAATTATCAGAAGCGATTGGGAATGAGAAGGCAAAAGAGGAATTTAGTCTTAAAAGTTTAAATATCACCCTCTTGCACAAAGCTGATGAAACTCGCTCCATGATATTTGTCATGCATTGTTCACTTGATTTATTTTGGTTTACAATGTAATTCCATTTGTTAACAACAGAGTTATTTCGGATCAAAAGAAGTAATTTTGTTTTACACTACCACTGTGTTATTTTTAATTCTTTTGATTACACGTCTCGTTGCTTTGATGGACATTTTGGCCATTCCAAATAGACATCATGTCTGATATGGTTGCTCCGTGCATGGTAATAACGTTTCGGTACTCGCAAAATGAGTAGGGAATAAAAGGCATGGCATTGTGCCTGAATCCACTGTTATGAACTGGCTTAATGCCGACTTTTCTCAGGCAAATCCCTACTAGCACGTCTTCGATGTGAATATATTTTGGACTGAGGGTAGCCATGTTGAAAACCAGCGCGGGGAGGTCACCTGACATGACGTAAGCCGCGCCTGCGCAGTAGGGAGGATATTTCTGCTCCCCGTACATTTCCACCGGCATGTAGTTTTTCTTGGTGCTTTCGCGAATCGGCGGCATAGCCTCGAACACGTGACCGGTCATGAACCGTTTCGTAGGCGTCGTTGGACTCGCGAGGAGTCTCGCGAGATTCTCGCGATTTACGTACATGTCGTCGTCCGTTTTCATGACGTACGCCGCTTGCGGGCAGTATTCACCCGCCCACCTCATACCCATCATCGTCTTTAGGGTGAGGTTTTTGTAACTCTCCACGAAGTCCTCCATTAGAATGTCGTGGTATTGGTCACTCTCCTTTTGAACGATCTCGCGAAGGGTACTGTTTGTACTTTGGCCCAGCATAAATAGAACAACAATTGTCTTCCCCATCACTTCGCCGGGGCGGGCCCATGTTTCACGGATTGTCTGCCGAACGTCACTTTTCTCGTGAGTGGTGACGACGAGAACCAATAGGAACACTGCTTTGTTGACGCCGTCGGCTTTCTTGCACGCCATTGGTTCATTCAACACGAGGTTAAAGTCATGTGTTATCATTGGGTTACCACCCTTGTCTACGGTACCATTCTTGGAAACCGATTTTGTGTTTCCTACAGTCAAAGGAGGGTTAGACCTACCACCGCCAGCTTTATTTGCCGATACGGGAGAGGAAGAATTGCCATTTTTGTTCCAATTCCAATGCTCTTGCTTGTCCCCCTCGTTTCCAGCCATGGATTTCTGATTTCCATTCGATTTACCAGTGCCTACTTGATCTCCTTGTTTTACTGTTGTAGCGGGCTTACCACTCTGGTTTCCGGTTCCCTGAACGGTCTTCGAGTCTTGGACTGTCGCTTTGCCAAGACCCGATTTATCCCATTTGCCCTGGACAGGTGCGGGCTTGGCTTTATCCTTGATCCTATCTGCTAGTTTGGGGTCTTTCCACTTCAAAATCCAGCTAGATTTACTCTTGTCACCCTGCGCTGGAGATGCTGCTCGCTTGCCTGTTTTCTCTCCGTTCTCTGCAACTGGTTTGGGATCTCCAGACAGTGGTTTACCAGTGTCGGTATTTTTACTGCCTCCTTGCCCCGCTGTCCACTTGACACCCCCTTTCATCTCTGCTGGTCTTTTGTCTCCAGGATTCCATTTACCACTACCATCTTTGATTTTGCCCTTTTGAAGGCCAACCGGAGAAGCTACGGGTTTGTTCCACTGCTTTCCAGCACCTTCACTGAATGGCCTTTGCCTGGTCAGTTGACCATCGCCTGGTTTAGTTTTGTCCCATTTCACGGGAGGCTTGTCCCACTGTTTCCTGGCACCTGAATTCTTGGGTTCGTCTGGCAATTTGCCCCCAGCTTTCGCAGTTTTATCTTGATGGATTTGCGATTCAGACTTCGGAGGGTCTCTTTTCTTGCTCTCGTTCGTCTTCTGCCAGTTGCCACCTACATCTGCGATAGACTCGGTGTTATCAGGTGGAGATATTGCCTTGTTGGTTTGGTTTTTACCGTCCGCGACCGGTTTTGGATTTCCTGACATTTCACTCCCGTTAGCATAATGTTCTTTTCCTGGCACTTTAGGATTGTCCCACTTTTTACCTGCAGTAAGTTTCTTGTCCGTGTCGTCTGCACCCTTGTTTGGTTGAAGGCCTACTGGTGAAGACGGAGGCCTGTCACCCTCCTTTTGGGGCCCCTCCGCCAATTTCGGGTCACTGTCTTCTCTCACTTTTGTGCCAGCAGTTTTCACTGTATCCTCCCGCTCTGCCGAGAGTGTGAGTTTGTTACTCTCGTTTCTGTTTCCTGCAACAGCTCCTGGCTTTTCTTCACTTTCTTTAGCGGTGTCAGCCTCCGTATCATCCTTCCCTGCTGGCGGTAAAACTTTGTCACCCCCCTCCACGTATTCATCCGCTGTTTTCGTTACATTGTTAGTTATTTTGTACATGTCTTTCTCATCTCTGTCTTTTTGTGTTAGTGATGATGTCCGATTCTCTTTTGTATTCTCCTTCTCTGATGTCGAGCCACTGGCCGTACGATTACCATCAACCTTGTTTATGGTTCTACCCACTAACGACGGCACGGCCTCTTCACTGGCCTTTTTATATCCCTCCGCTGATCCATGGTCTCTTTCCGTCCAATTCGCCTCGAGGTCCTTAGAACTATCAGGCAGCGGGAGTGGCTTGTCACTCTCCTCTCCGTATCCATCCGTATCCCTTCGCTTCGGGTAGTTAGAACTACTACTTTCAGTGCGATTCTTGTCTCCATGTGAATAAATTTTCTGCAGGAATTTGTGCATGGTCTCCGCATCCAAAGTGTTCATGTTCGCAATCGGGTAGCGAATGCCTGCCGTTCTCATGGGTTTCCTCAGAAATCCTTGAAAATGGCGAGGACCCTGGTTGGCGTTTTCAAAGATGTAAATGTAGGAAAGCGTGCTGGCGACTCCGGAGATGACCATCAACAAGAAGACCTTGAATTTGTTGCCCATGATTCCTTGCAGCTGATCTGCGGGTCAGGTATCTGAAGGTTCCTGCAGGGAAGTAGAAAATGTTTTTGATAATTATCAATTCTTATGATTAAATAAAATCGTCTTTGAGTTTTACTATTCAATATACAGGGTAAGTAAAAAAAACAAACAACGAAACCCAAATGGCAGGACCCATTTTTGAATGAAGTTTGGCTTGTATCACTTTCAAAATCTAGGATATAAAAGCCCAGTCATTAGGCTTTCTTTTAGTACAACAACCATTTAAATCACTCATGTGCTTTTCAAGTTAGGGAATTTTGAACACAAACACCCTTTTAAAGTTCTGTCCGCGGATCACAAAACGCAAACACTTCTTATAGGGATCCTTCTGAATTGTTTTCGTTTTGCTGAAAGAACACTTACCTTTTTTGTGATCCGTGGACAGAACTTTAATACGGTGTTTTTGTTCAAAAATTCCCTAACTTCAAAAGTATGCAAGTGATTTGAATGATACTAAACGAAAGCTTAACGACTGGGCTTTCATATCCTAGATTTTGAAAGTGCTACAGGCAAAACTTCATTGGTCCTACCATTCAGGATTCGTTTTTTTTTACTCACCCTGCATGTACATGTATGTGAGATTGTGAGGGCAACTTAAACAAAAACAAGTGATGGATATTCGCTTTGGGAGATGCAAGTGTATTTTTTTTTTAAAGATACATTGTACATGTACATGTAAAGGGTTCTTTCCTTCACCAACGTTCGTTATATGCACTTTATCTTCATGTCAAATTCCTGACGTCTGCACTATAGTATGCAGGAGGTCGTGGGTTCAAGTCCCACCGAACAGGCTGGTGGTTGTTTATCTTTCTCGGAATCTCTCGGACAATACTGAGTATAAAGTGCTCGTTAAACAGTTTATAAGAAATAAGTACGGATTTTTCTGCTCAACATTGTTGTTTATCAAATAAAAGAGAATACACATTCTCTAATTATCCCAACAATTGAATGCAATACTGGGCAATACCAACATGCACGTTCACACTTCGTGATGCATCCTCTCCGAAACTCGTAGAGTTAAAAGGGCCTGTGAGTTTCTGTAAAATTAAAACTAAGATAGATTTTCAAAGATAGGGAAAATTTACTGGACCTGCCAGTTTTGCTTCGAATTTAAAATTCGAGCAGAAAAAAACTAGTGGACGTTAATTCTCTCTACCTCTAGGGGCTACCATTACTGCGCTGATGGATGTCACTAGAGATAGTCATGAATATAATTAACGACTGAAACAAAATGTGGATTGATGTAGGTTATTTTTCATACTGTCAACGTCATCAAATTGCAAGTTATAATTCAAATTCTGGACTCACTTTTACGTTGTCTCTGACGACGTTTCGGCAATCAGCAACCCGGCCGCCTTCGTCTGGTGACCTCTGATGTGAAGGACGGTCCTAATATAAACAACAAATTAATTCAAAACTCAGGCAATCAGGCTCTGTGTTATTTGTAAAGCTTTTATTGAAAAATAACATTTCTGCGCAACGGATCCGGCATTTAGTATATCAACCAGTGTTATCCCAGAAAATGCGAGAGTATTGCCTCTCATAATAATAGAGGTCTCTAGAGTTTACATAATGTGATCATGATAAAGATAAATATAATCCACGTGAAAGATAATACACGTTCTTGAACTCAAAACGCGGCCAGCTAGTATCAATATGTCCCCCAAATCGCGGACAACTCAACGTTCTTGAACTCAAAACTCCGCCAAATGGACGCCCTGATGAGGTGTCTTTGAAAGATCGTTCTAGTTACGTACCCCTTCGCCATGAACTAATGAATTATTTTTAAGCGTTAAATAGGATTGCTTTACAAAGATAAAACCTTATTGAATAGTAACTGTCATGAATAGTCCCACCCACATAGGCACAACATAAAAATAAAAAAGTGCATCCAAGATGATAATTGTTTTGTTTTTGTTTCATTGTCAGAATGATTTTGTTCAATGATATCAAGGCGATGCTTGAAGGTATCCATGTTAGAATCACTTATCAACATTTTGTATATCTCTACTAGACAATATTAACGCCGTGAATATTAAATCTACCCATTCTAGCTTAACAGGAGAGTTTCCAGGGTGTCTTGTCACAATTACCGACAAGGTGTTGTCTTCAGAACCTTAATCTTCGAGTCACATTTAGGTAGAAAGGAAACTGGACAAATACAACGATTTTGCAAGTAATTTTGCCGAAAACACTGCATGGATGCAGCCATAACATCTTGAGTTTTTTTCATGGTACATTGATCCATTTTTAGCTCCATTGTACAACATACCTCTGTGCTCCTGAAATAAGACGGTCTACAAATCAGCCAGGAAGAAATTCCAGCCCACGAAGACACTTCTGAACAGGATGATAAAATTGTCATCAAACCATCATCAAGAAAGGAGGAACTAATATGGAGAATCATGCATTCGCTTTGTTGCTGGGACATGCATGTACGTATGCTGCTGTTATTTTAAGTCAGTTCGTGCGCTGAATACAACGCTCACCTGTGGATAAACTGTCTGACCCCAAAAATCAATATCGTCTTCTTTGTTACGCTTCTCATCCCGGCCGTGTTAAGCCTAGGGCATTGTAATGGTGTCCCTTGCTCTTTATGCCGGCGCTTTCAATTACATCTTGAATGACGCAAGGTGAATTTTCAGATAATGTTTTATTCATCATCGCAGAATTTACGAGGTTAAACTGTATCGACTCAAGTCAGTTCTCTATGAGGGCGGTGAGAGTCACGTCACGGAAAAACCTGTCAAACGGCTGAAACTTACAACGCGTATTGTGTTTTCTTCCTGGGGGTGGATGGGGGGGGGGGGGGGGGTAGGGGTTAGGGATGATGTGGGGGTGGGCCACTAGTCTAAGGAATATCCGCTTGCACACAAGCGTCTATGATATTCGCGCAGATTCAGCGATCAATTGTGCAAAACAAGACTGCGTCTTGACCTCGGATCACCATTTAGCGGGCGCCTTCTATTGGGTCTTCACTCTTCAGTAACCCGTTTTGAGCAATGAACAGCTTAGTCCACATAGTCTGATCGAAATGACGTCCAAATGTCTAAAGTCGACTCCGATTGGCTGGCACGCAGGGTCGGATATATCAGACGTTCCTGTCACGTTCGTAGTATGGCGCTGTGCACGTGGACATCTGATCCTCAGACTAGTGGAACAGTACTTGAGTACAAAAAATCTTGTCATTTATTTGTTCCAATCATCGAGTGAATGGTTGGAAACTTTGCACACCCGAAATCAATCGTTTTGCTTACTGGAAGTCAGTAAAGCCATATACAAAGAATTTGCAAGGCCGCAGACGCATTATTCCTTTCGCATAAAAATGTAAAAACAAATAATAATCATAATTTTCAACAAAGCTATCAAAGGTTTTATTTTCCATCGATTCGGAAATTCTCGACTCGGAAATTCTGGCCATAATTTTAAAAACATGATTGAGTTACCCAGAATGCCATCCCCACTTCCTTTACAAGATTCTGTGAATGTCATCAGCACTTTCCGGCCCAGAACCCCAGCTGCAGGCCCTGTTTGCAGGGCGGGATACGATCGAAGCGCTATCATGAAGGATGCATATCGGTATCGTGAACAGCGCCCCTAGTGTAATGTTATGTCCTGGTGTAATGTTGTTTTCGTCTACATTTTTTGAAACTTAAGGATGAAAACGTGCACATCATTTTTTTCACGAAAATAATGTTTGATAACAGGCTGATGAAGGATTGTTGGCAATAGCGAACGGAATATAGGCCTAATTTTCAGCGTTAGTAAACAAATCCGTAAAACAATCGTCGTTTCCTTTTTTTTTTTTAAACGTCCGTACAATGTTGAAATAGTATAAACGGAGTTGAGAATCTGTAACTGTCCAAATACAAAGCACAGAAGTCAGGCGCGGATGCAGAGGGGTCGAACCCCCCTCCCAACACCACGCTCTGACACACCGTATGTATAAGCTAACAATTATAATAATGATAAGATCGGATATAAATAACGGGCCTGATCCCCCACCCCGCCAAAATTCCTGGATCCGCTCCTGAACGCACCTGATGCCTGTTTAAAAAGAGCCTACATAATAATAGTGTTCACTGTTCCGTAACGAAAACTATGTTTATAGCACACGTATCTATAGGCCTACGACTAACGAGGCTGCCGTATACAATTTTCCAAACAACTGAAAACAGTTGACTAATTACTGCCCACAATATGGACTTCTGTTCGCCCATGGAGTCAAAGCAGATGCACACAGCAGTGTTCCACGTTTCGCCGCGGACTCCGCCTATTATTAAGACAGATTGTTTTTGAGGAGAATTCTAAGGAAGCCTGATGGCCGAGTGGTTAGAGTGGTAGTCCACAAGTCGCGGAGTGCGGGATCGAATCCTGTCGGTGTCTTTTTGCTTTTCAACGCACGCATACTATTCAGTCATTATAAGATGTTTAATTTCCCGTCGTTAAATACCAACAGTACCTTAGCTTAATCGGTAAGCACTGCTGCTGGTACTGTCAACGAGTTCCAGGTTGGCACCTTCGTACAGGTTCAGGGCATGTGGTCCACTCGGAGGATAAAGGCTTAGGGGCCGCCCTGTTCCTCCCTTAGCTCTTTGCTTTTACATGGTGACTGGCCCTCCGGGGTTACATGGATGGACAGGGAAGGAAGTGTGTATTGGTCGGGGACACCGAGACCCCGGAAGAGAACTAAGGGATTGGCTGGGGCATTGTTATGGCTCAGACCGATCCCTGAAAGCTTGACTAGCACATAACTTTTTGATTTTTTTTTGATCCTCTATACAATTTAATACAATTTTAAATTCCCCAGAAAAGTCAAATTTGGCCCCATTTTGATTAAAATGCAAGGATAACCCCTTACAATTCTAAATTTCCCAGAAATGTCAAATTTTGCCAAATTTTGATGAAAATGCAAGGTTAACCTCTTACAATTTAAAATTTCCAAGAAAAGTCAGATTTTTGCCAATTTTGATGAAAATGGAAGGCTAACTCCTTACAATTTTTAACTTGCCTGAAAAGTCTTATTTTGGGAAATTTTAAGGAAAATGTAAGGTTAACCCCTTACAGCTTTAAATTCCTCAGAACAGTCACATTTTGCCCAATTTTGATGAAAATGCAAGGTTAACCCCTTACAATTGAAAATATCCCAGAAAAGTCAGATTTTGGCAAATTTTGATGAAAATACAAAATTTAACCCCTTACAGACTCGAACTTGCCAGAAGAGTCAAGTTTTGCCCGATTTTGATTAAAATGCAAGGTGAACCCCTTGCAATTCTAAATTTCCCAGAAATGTCAAATTTTGCCCAATTATGATGAAAATGCAAGGTTAACCCCTTACAATTTTAAACTTACCCGAAAAGTCAAATGTTGCCCAATTTTAAGGAAAAGCAAGGTTAACTCCTTACAATTCAATTTTTCTCAGAAAAGTCTAATTTGCCCAATTTTCATTAAAAAAAATGAAAGGTTACTCCCTATCAATTACAAAAATTCCAAGAAAAGTCAAATTTCGCCAAATTTTGATAAATGTTCAAGGTTAACCCCCTAACAATTTTAAATCTCCCAGAATTGTCAAATCTTGCCCAATTTTGATGAAAATGCAAGGTTAACCCCTTACAATTCTAATTTTCCCAGAAATGTCAAAAATTGCCCAATATGATGAAAATGCAAGGATTACCCCTTACAATTTTAAATTTCCCAGAAATGTCAAATTTTGCCCAATTTTGATGAAAAAGCAAAGTTAACCCCTTACAATTCTAAATTTCCCAAAAATGTCAAATTTTGCCCAATTTTGATGAAAATGCAAGGTTAACCTCTTACAATTTTAAATAACCCAGAAAAGCCAAATTCGGCCAAATTTTGATGAAATGAAAGGTTAACCTCTTTAATACAATTTTAAATTCCCCAGAAAAGTCAAATTTGGCCCCATTTTGATTAAAATGCAAGGATAACCCCTTACAATTCTAAATTTCCCAGAAATGTCAAATTTTGCCAAATTTTGATGAAAATGCAAGGTTAACCCCTTACAATTCTAAATTTCCCAAAAATGTCAAATTTTGCCCAATTTTGATAAAAATGCAAGGTTAACCTCTTACAATTTTAAATTCCCCAGAAAAGTCAAAAATCTGCCAAATTTTGATGAAATGCAAGGTTAACCTCTTACAATTTTAATTCCCCAGAAAAGTCAGATTTTGGCCAATTTTGATGAAAATGCAAGGTTAAAACCTTGCAACTTTAAACTTGCCTGAAAAGTCGGACTTTGGCCGATTTTGATGAAAATGCAAAATAAACCCCTTACAATTGTCATTTTACAGAAAAGTAAAATTGTAGGCAATATTAATAAAAATGCAAAGTTAACCTCTTACAATTTAAAATTTCCAAGAAAAGTCAGATTTTTGCCAATTTTGATGAAAATGGAAGGCTAACTCCTTACAATTTTTAACTTGCCTGAAAAGTCTTATTTTGGGAAATTTTAAGGAAAATGTAAGGTTAACCCCTTACAGCTTTAAATTCCTCAGAACAGTCACATTTTGCCCAATTTTGATGAAAATGCAAGGTTAACCCCTTACAATTGAAAATATCCCAGAAAAGTCAGATTTTGGCAAATTTTGATGAAAATACAAAATTTAACCCCTTACAGACTCGAACTTGCCAGAAGAGTCAAGTTTTGCCCGATTTTGATTAAAATGCAAGGTGAACCCCTTGCAATTCTAAATTTCCCAGAAATGTCAAATTTTGCCTAATTATGATGAAAATGCAAGGTTAACCCCTTACAATTTTAAACTTACCCGAAAAGTCAAATGTTGCCCAATTTTAAGGAAAAGCAAGGTTAACTCCTTACAATTCAATTTTTCTCAGAAAAGTCTAATTTGCCCAATTTTCATTAAAAAAAATGAAAGGTTACTCCCTATCAATTACAAAATTTCCAAGAAAAGTCAAATTTCGCCAAATTTTGATAAATGTTCAAGGTTAACCCCCTAACAATTTTAAATCTCCCAGAATTGTCAAATCTTGCCCAATTTTGATGAAAATGCAAGGTTAACCCCTTACAATTCTAATTTTCCCAGAAATGTCAAAAATTGCCCAATATGATGAAAATGCAAGGATTACCCCTTACAATTTTAAATTTCCCAGAAATGTCAAATTTTGCCCAATTTTGATGAAAAAGCAAAGTTAACCCCTTACAATTCTAAATTTCCCAAAAATGTCAAATTTTGCCCAATTTTGATGAAAATGCAAGGTTAACCTCTTACAATTTTAAATAACCCAGAAAAGCCAAATTCGGCCAAATTTTGATGAAATGAAAGGTTAACCTCTTTAATACAATTTTAAATTCCCCAGAAAAGTCAAATTTGGCCCCATTTTGATTAAAATGCAAGGATAACCCCTTACAATTCTAAATTTCCCAGAAATGTCAAATTTTGCCAAATTTTGATGAAAATGCAAGGTTAACCCCTTACAATTCTAAATTTCCCAAAAATGTCAAATTTTGCCCAATTTTGATAAAAATGCAAGGTTAACCTCTTACA